AATTTTTACAAATTAGGCTTGAACAAAAATTTTGTTTTGTGCACCTTATTATTAACAAGGCAAGATAACAGATCAAATAAAAAAAAAATGATAGGCTCTTAAAAAGATAGACTATATATAAAAATCTAAATAAGGTTGAAAATATACTTTGGGAACAGTGCACCCACCTAATTGAAAGACAGAATTTTTGGCAAATCCACTTGCATTGCTGGAACTTTTAATAATTTCTTTTCTTATGTACACAGTTTTATTCACAGGTTTCACTTGATTCATTTCTTTTTTCCATTTGCTTCTTCTGTGAGAAACAGCGAAGCTCATCCACAGATGACTGCCAAAAATAGCTTTTCCCTCTAGAACCTTATTTTTATGCATTCAGGGCAGAATTTTCATGCCTCCTTGTCTTCTAACCTCTGGTTGAAAATTATTACACCTTCTGGTCAAAAATTATCATTACTTTCTGATACCATGAAAGTATTTATAGAAAAGGCACAGGGAAGCTATGTTATGGTGGTGGAAAAGTAACTGAAGCCGAGATGCCAGGTCAGGGCCAATATCATTGCAGATTCCTTGTATCTTATCACAGATCTCTAAACACATAGCAGAAGCACCAAACCAGATGTGACAGAAATATTTAAAGTAAGGATGAATGGTAGACTTATAGATATGTAAGATAGATACTGGCAAGCAAGAAACTGGAAGAGAGTTCCACAAGTGAGAAGTGCAAGAGAAGAAACTGTTAGCATAAAACTTGCAGTGACATATAAACATTTCAACTGTAAAATAATGAGATCTTGCCTCCAATCTAGTACTACACTTAAATTCATAAAGTCTAGTTAAGATAGAGGAAAGTTAATCAGAACAATAACCATGAAAGTATTTATAGAAAAGGCATGGGGAAGCTACATTGGGAAGATGACTGAAGTCGAGATGTCAAGTCAGAATCAATAACATTGCAGATTCTTCTTTGAATTTTATCGAGAATCTCTAAATATACAACAGGTGCACCAGACCAAATGTGGCAGCAATATTCAGAGTATATAAATATATATTTAGGTACTTCCAAAGATTTGCTAAAAAATGAGCATACATGATGAAAAAATGCTCCAGACTTAATAAAAACAAAATTTTATCATCAAAATCTTTATGTTGAGAAAAAAGCAAAGGAATTTTTATTATTAAATTATATTTTCTTATCCTTTTTAGAACATTCAAAATTTTGGTTAAATTTTTTTTTACATTATTAGATGTATTAAATTAGTATGGAAAATTTTTAGCATCTTTTTACAGTGATTTGGAAATTCTTTCAAAAATCAAATAATAGTTGGATTATAATTAAACTTTCAGGATTTATTCACAAATTAATTACATTATTTTATCTTTTTTAGAAAATATTGGTAAAAATATTTTTTTTTTACATCTGTGGCTCACTATTTAATTTTATGAAATTTTGATAAATTCATTTTTGTAGGGTTTAATGTTTATATTACTTATAAGTAGAAGTCCTTGGAGAATTTAAATCATCAATTTTTTTTTTAAAACCAGACTCCAGTTACAGAATAACTGCTCTGAATTGTAAAATAAAATATGCAATAAACTAGCATATTCAATTAGAAATGTTTTTAATTGCTTTTATGAATTAGATATATTATGGATAGTAATGTGCTAAGAAATTCTTTTATCAATGAATAATGAATTTTTACAAGAATTATTTTCACTTTTAAAAATTTTAATTAAATCAATTTATAAACTTTTCAATCTTTCATAATTCGGCATTAATTTGTCATGGTTATGTCATATTAGTATTAAGTAAATCTATATCTACTAATAAATGAAAAAGCTTAGTACAATTCAGCGACCACCAGTATTTTAAAAAGAATTTTGAATTTTTTTTTGTGTGTATATATATGTGCCAACTTTTGAATATACGGGTTCCATACATGACATCCTCAGAAAAAAAGAACAGTAACTATAATAAATTTAAAGTCTAAGTACCTACAATTCAATAAGAAATTAGATTATAGAGAATATTTTCCTAAATTTTTAAGATTACTCAGTAGTTAAAATTTATGTAAAAAAAGGTGCTCATGTTATGTTTCTCAATTAAATTTTACAGATATGTCTACTGTAAAAACCTTGTCTGTCACTCTGCTAACACCTTAAATAAACAACTACTGCCATGCTAAAAGTACATTTCTGCAATATTTTAAAAAAGTAAAATAAAAAAAATAATTCCAATTAGTTTAAAATCACTCTAAAATACAGCAAAGTATTTTCTTATTGGAAATATTAAATTTAATGTTTTTAGCTTGAGATTAAAACTAAAATAAAAGCTTCAAGAAAGATTTTTCATTTTAAAAAATTTATTTTAAACCTTAGGTATTGCTTTTCTTTGGAGGTACCTATAAAAATGTGTAAGATAGATTCTTGCAAGATAAATTGTCTACCACAACACAGTTAACCAACTTTCCTAGCAGAAGACCTAGAAATTAGTTGAAAATTAGATAAATAAATTTAATAAATGTTTAACTTATTTGGATATAGTTGACAAAATCCTTTGAAGCCTGAATTAGAAAAACTAAAATCTTCTAATTCAGGCTTTTCATATTCGCTTTGAAATAATTATTTATTAGATTTGAATTTTTTTTTTTTTTTGCTGTTGTGTTGGTTGAGATATTCAGTTCAAGTAACAAGTTTTTCAGCATCCATTTTTGAATAAATATAAAATGTATATCACATATCAAAGTTTGTGATGTTCCTTCAAGTTCAATGCTTGCGATGCTTGAAAATATTGTTGTATGTTCCATTTTTTTATATTTTAATTTAATAAATAAAAGTAAAGTAAATAAATCAAGAAAATAACAATACATTTTATTTCAGATCAATCATAAACATTAATTTAGGTCAGTCAGTCAGTTATGTGCCATGCGTGATACACACTTAGGGGATCGTATCTTTTCATACATGACTGACGAGACAAATTTTTTCCCACAGTAGGTTGCCATTTCTTTCTGCATTAGACCAGTTGCTATCTAAAGCTATAGAACTTGGTCTATCCTGCTATTTACCCATAGCTGTGTGGAGAAGAAAAGGATTCATACCTTTTCTAAGGCTATTTGCACGTAAATGAATGTAATGAATTCGACTGGAATTCAAACTTGGCTCTCTGATTTAAGTACCTCCACTAATTCACTGAAAAAAAGCATAGCATAATGAAAAAAGGACCAAAGTATTTTTTTTATTAAATTTTTTAATCCTTTCTCTTGGTTAAAGACCTTGTTTTTTTTTTCGTCAGTGGTGGAACTTTAGCATTCTGCTACCACTTTTTCGACGTCAATTTTTGTACAAACTAAACACCAAAGTGGATCACAAAAGCCTTGATATTTCTCTGACTCCTGATTGGTCAATTAATGCCAATATCATGCTTTCATCTACATGGGCAAGGTTAAAATTAATTTACCCTCAAATTCTGGCTATGAATTCTCGAGCCAGTCACATGACATACAACATACTTAGTCACATCGTCATTCTTTCTCTTGCCTTCTCTCACATACAAGATGTAGCTGTGTAGAGAAATCACGTTCATCTTGAGTGAAAATGCTATGAAACATCATGACACTCAACACACAAGCACACATGTACATACAAACAACACACATCTACGAATATTGCAAATCTTTGCACTCATCTTATTCACTCCTTCAACTACAAAGACACAGAAACTTATCAACTTCTAACAGTGAGATTTTCTTCAGCAACAAGAATGCCATCCGAGAGAATACAATTTTCGACTTATCGATTTTTACCAGTGACAAATTTTATGTCACATCTTCTGGAGCTAAAAGTTTCTTATCAACATAATCTCAGCTTCCCAGAACATGCTCACTCAATTCATCTCAATCGATGTCATTCCTCTACAGTGAATGAAATTTGAGTGGCAAGATACTTCAATATATTTATGCTAATTTCCTCTCATTCAACAAGTTTCTTTGAACTAGCATTAAGAGCAAAACAATTTAGCATTAAAGGGAAATAACTCCTGCTATATTATTAATTATAAATGCTACATGTTGACATACACTTTTGCCTGCCATTAAACAATTTTGGGTGTGATAAACATCAGTTTAGCAATTTGCAATTCAGTTTAAATTACCTGAGTAAATTCATTCTTCAATTTTGTATATTGTTGATATAAAAATGTTTTGTTATTTCTAGAAAACATATTGTTGTTTTATATTTGTTTTGACAGCCTTGTGCTATGCAAATAATAAATGTTTGTGGGGATGTTAATTTTGTTCACACAATCAAACTAAAAATAGCCTTCTGATCAAAGATATAAGCAAAGTAATCACTCTGCAACACAAGAAAGACGGGTATTTTATTTAGCGCCATAAATTGATTTGGAAATTCTTGCAAAAATGAAATAATTGTCGAATTGCAATGAAACTTTCAGAACTTATTCACAAATAAATAAAATTAAATAATTTTTTTTTTTTTTTAGAAAATTTTAGTAAAAATATATTTTTTTTTTACATCTGTACCCACACGCACTTAATTTTATGAAATTACAAGGAATTAAATTTTGATCAAAATATTTTCTTCACAATAATGTTGTAATTAACGATTAATTACGTTTTTTATTAAAAAAAAAGTTTTGTAAAGAAAGCTTCCTCCGTAATTTATATGTGCTGTTAATCACGCAATTTGATTTAAACATTGTTTTAAATATCAGCGATTATTTTTCTAAAGAAATAAAAATAATATTTTTATACTGAAGAAATAAATATTTGAATACGGATCGGTGGCTTCATTACTTGATTAATCAGTTGCCATGACACTGCCGCTAAATTTCAAAATGGCGGTTATTTATGTTGGTCGTTGGTATGTTTGTGAGGAAGAGCGATATTATCAATTGCTGTGTTACTTGTGAAATATGTTCCTGACAGTTGATATTAGTTAAGTGAAAATAGATTCATAGAGGTGTGTTAATCATGTATCAAACGATGAATAAAGAAAGCCAGGATGAGTTAACCGCAGAGCAGTTCCGAAGACGACTTTATTGCCTCTTCGAGAAACGAGGGGTTGTTGATTACTTGAAGGTAAATTGCTGAAATAATCCTTTTTATTATAATTTTCACCTTTCTTATTTGAACATTTTGTGTTTTATTCGATATCTTATTGCAATGAAAATTTCTTTATGTTGACGTATTATTGCAGATGCATGACTAACAACAAAAAAAGTCAGTTACTTATTTTTACTTAATTCTTACGAAATAATAAACGTATATAAAATTAATTATGACTACCCCTTAAAATAGCGTGGTCAGGATTCGCTTAATTTTTTTGTAATAATTTTTTTTTTTCTTTATTTGCTATTTTTTGAAAATGACTTTAAATTTTATTTCTGTAGAAAATGGCTTTCTCGGAAAACAATGAAGCGAGTGAGCGAAATAAATATCTCTTTAAATGAGACTTCAATTTTAAAATATACGCGTAATAATAAACTAGACCCTGACTTTGTGACCGACATTATGCAACTTTGTAATTTTAAAGTCTGGGAGCCTAAGTAAAAAGAAAGATCGCGTTAATTAATTATAAACTGGGGTTTTATCGGACACAACAAATTGTATTCTTAATTGCAGAGAAAAAGGAAATGATTTTTTTAAAGGTTTTAACTTTTAATCTTCCGTACTTTAAAAATGATGAAAGTTAAGGACTGACGAAAAAAATGAACTGATGCTTTTATAAAAATGGACACAAAGTAAGTGTCCAGTTTGACTTACTTTGTAATTGACCCCACCCCCACTAGCACCACACACACGCAAAGTTAATTTCCAGAAGAATTAAAAACACATCAAAATACATAAAAAAGAAATAACTTCACTTTTAATAAATTAGTTCAGTGTTTGTCAACCTTTTTTTTTTTTTACTTCAGAGCACACACTCATTATCACTCATAGAATAACTAAAAAAAGTCTAGAGCGGTCTTTAACTTTTAATAGGGAAAAATTAGTCATGAAATTGGAAAATAGGACACAAAGAAGTCTCCTAAAACAAGCATTTATTATTAAGATTACATTGTAAAGTGGTACAGTTTTCATGAAGGGATTTTATGAAGAATCTGCTATTTTTTTTTTTCTTTAGAGAAGCTGATAGGGATTGATTTAAATAAATCCCTTGAGGAAGGCAAAAGGGAAAGGATTAGCCACTCTTTAAATATTAAAGAATTTAACATCCAGTTTAATATATCAAATGACAAATACATGAAAACTATCTCTTGGATTTTTAAAAATAAAGATTTTTAAAATAAAAAAGTAATTCATAAATTCTTTTAACTTGGAGCACACTTGGCAACCTTTCAGAGCACATTAGTACACCTTAACCCACTTATTGAGAATTATATTTTCTGATTTACATTATATATATATATATTGTTTGAAAATTAAGCTTTATGTATTTTTCTGTTCTATGAATGAATATGACTTAATTCTTCTAAAAACTTGTAATTTTTTTAGAGGATCGTTCAAATTATAATGTTAAGAAATGATAAGATAAAGAACAAATAGGAAACATTTATCAATCTAACATGTTTCACTTTTATTAAAGCTTCATCAGAGAATGAGATATGGAGAAGAAGAAAGAAACTCTGGTATTTTTTACTTTTGTGTTGTCTGATTTTCATTGGTTAATCATGTTTCATGAGCATTTGACTTGTTAAACCAACGTTAGTATAATGTGTGGTATTTTGAATTCAAAAAGAAATGGCATGTAAATTTGAAGTTTCAAGAAATGTTAAGAGAATCCTCTCACTTTCTGGCTGTACGAGAGTGACAAATTTGATTCTAACAGCTGTCTCTTTGTCACCACTATAATGAATGCAAATGTATCCTCAAAGTGGTAAAGTCATTATTTGCTGACAGAATGAGTTTGGGTCTAGAGACTATTAGCAGTTCTGCAAGATTGTACTGACCAATAGTTAATCCTAAGTCCATCTGTCCTCTTCACTTTACTGCAGATAAAGCAGAATGCTTTGCTCAGATTTTCTCTCCAAACTGCACTCTTTACTCTGGAGTATCTCTACCTTATTTTCCTCCTAGAAGAGAATCTCTACTGAGTGATATATACATAACCCTGTCTATGGTTTCTGCTATTTCTAAACTAGATTCGGTTTACAGGTTCAGTATCCTTGCAATTGTCCTAATGTGCTTCTGAACTGGTTCTTGTATCTCTTTAACTTTTACAATAAATACCTCGATGTTTCTTGCTTTCCAGCTTGTTGGAAGTCCTCTTCTGTAGTTCCTGTCTTTAAGAACTCTAGTGAATCATCTGACCTTGAATTATCGCCTAATTAGTCCTTTACACACACCAATTTTTTTTTTTTTTTTTTTGCAAAGTATTAGGCACTCTAATCAATGCCAAATTAGTTAAGCATCTCACTTCACATGACTTTTGTTATAGACAAGCGTATGGTTGCAAGAAAGAAATACGACAACAGCAGAGATAGATTTACGTGATTTATTTCAATAGGAATGTGTGGTTTTGGGACAGCTACCTTGTGGTATAGTTCATAGGCCGGCTGAAGATCTGGGTTGATCTTTCATAGTAGTTTTCACTTGTTGGCGTGTCGCTACTGCTGCTTGCTGCTGCTGATCGCTCAGCCTGACCGTGACAGGTCTCTTCCCTGGCCTCCTGTTGACTGCCCGTTGTACTTCCGCGTGACCTCTTTTATGGTGTTTTTTTATGGCTTAACAGGCTCGAAAAACAACGAGTATAATTAGGAGGGAAGCATTTTTATTGGTCAAAAAATAGAAACACTTTAAAATATTATTTTATTTTTCGACCGGAACTCGTACGTCAGAAACATGTGTAAATGAAGATAATGGTCATTTTGTGATGGGGCCTTTCCCTGTTCACATCTGGCTTTCGCTCTTGAGTATGTTAGTTTATTTGCTTGTAAATCAGCCGAGATATGTCTTATATTATTTTATAACACCTCATTTTGGATACACAATATGGCTTCCATTTCTCCAGGTCTATTGCTGATTTGTTAACAGCCAACACTGAATTTGTCTATCAAGTTTTAGATAAGACCAGCAAAGCTTGGGTTGTGGCTCTAGATATCTCAAAGGCATTTAACAGATTTTAACATGCTGGCCATTTCCTCAAGCTCAATGGCTATAGTTTTTATAGTTCAACTTTAATTTCAGTTATATAACAATCACTCAAGATAATCCCTTTACAAATTCCTGTCTTCGTAACAAGTCTGCCAGATTCAACAAAGTATCTCTAATTTTAAGTCATAGCATGCAATTAAAGCCACTTGATGATCATTTTGGGTAATTCCAACATTATCAAGGAGCTTGAATGCTAATACAGTATCAGGAAGTAGCATCTCATAATTTTTACACTTGTATTTTTGGTCAGATAAAATCATATAGTCAGCCATATTTATGTTCCTGTCTCAAAAATCTGTATATGTAGCATAGGACTGATCTATTTTGTTCTTTTCAAATGGTTTGTCCAGTTCTTCCAATAAATAATAAACACCATTGTCATTATTCAAATCTTCAGGATCTATTTCCATAGCCACATTTTGAGGTCTTCTTTTTGCCTAGGTCACTTGCTAACTGTCACATCTGTTTTCCAATGGTTGTAGGATTTCTCTTCATCAAAAGTTGGTGGATTCTTATAATTTACTAATGTCATTTTTTTTTGTTGTTGCTCCTGAACTACACCTCTGCTACCAATGGATATTTATTGCATAAAAATACAATTATGGCACAAGGCCAAAAAAGGGGGGTGGGGTTGAGGCTGGTCTTCACTATCTTATACCTACCTAATCTGATTCACGACCCATTCACTCATTACAATTTACACATTCACCACAAAAACTCATCCATTGCCAACCAATCCTCCATACACCATAATACCACATCCTCTCAAGGGAGACCTACAAAACACACCACATGCCATAAAATTTAATGATAATAACTTATATATACAATTCTAAAGATGAAATATGAGAGGGAAGGGAGATGAACCCAATAACAAACTAAACATAAACACAAAGTAAACTAAACATAAGTAATGTTAGTAAGGCCCATCCAACCCTCAAAAAAAGGAGAGGTCACTGTATTCTGCCCATTGGACAAAATCAAGAAGCTCTCTCACTAAGGAAGTGGGAAGGAAAAAAAAAAATCTACAGACATGGGGAATAAAAAGCTGACCCAGTCAGGATAAAAAGAGGGCCAAAAAGAAACTGGGGAGGTTGGGAATCTCGACTTGGGTCATAACCAAAGAGGCAGCTGGGAACAGGCCAGGAACAATACTTACTCACATTAACCAGGTACACAAAGGCTTCTGCTACCAATGTTGATCTGGTCTGATCTAATTTCACCAGGCAAATAAATTTATATAGAACTAAATGGGAAGAACCCATTTCAACTGGAGGTGGAACAGCTCAACCTATTAAAGCACAAGTTTACATTAGCTAAAGGCTATCAGTTCAATACTTGTGCCAGGTAGTAAATAGACATTCAAACTAACAACTCAACAGACTGGGACAACGAATGGTTTGTAAATTTTAATGCTTCCAAAACAAAACTGCTTTCATTTAATCACCATAGAGAACCTTTGCTGCCTGTCATTTGCATGGTTGATGCTAAACTCCAGGAGAGCAACACTCTGAACCTTCTTGGACCATTGATATAAAGTGGAATGATTATATATTAAATCAATTTCTAAGTCTACTACTAAGATAATTGTGTGTTGTATCAGATAATTCTTCTCATCAGAATCCCTCCTGCACATTTATAAATCAACCATTGATCCGTGCATTGAATACTATTGCTATGTCTGGTCTAGTTCTCCTACTATATATTTGAGATTCTTGGTAAAATTCAAAGAATGTTTTGTATCAATGTATCAGTCCTGATTTGGCATCTTGACTTGAAGCACTTCCCCACCAATATGACATGACCTCTCTCTGTCTTTTCTACAAATATTTTCAAGGCAAATATTCTGATGAGTGTTTCTCCTTAGTGCCTTGACTACATTATTTAAATGTGCAATGAGATTGACAACTAGGTCTTACCATTTT